GGACGAAACGGCCATCTAATGCTTCCGGGTTTTCATGAATTGAACTGTAATGAATTTAATTTATTGAAAATTACATTTTTGTCTAGTCATAACTTGAAAATAGAATCTTCATTTAAATTAACACGAATTAACATTAACTACTGAATAAAAATATTTTCAATATAAAGTTTTAAAAATTGTTCTTGTTGGAGAAATTTCTCTAGACATATTTGCAAACAGTAGATGATTGTGTAAATCAATGATTTGAATTCTTATCATTATGCTCGCACTTTATTTTCTAGGTAATGATAAACACCCCTTCATTTTTAGCATAACAGTGAAAAATATAGTTGACACTTAATCATGTGTTTGTTGGAAAATGACTGAGATGAGTCTTTGCAGTTTTATTGAGAAACGATTAGTGATGTTCATTCATCTCGGTGGGGAATCAGTTGCTCGTTGATGACGCTGGGTAACTAACATGCCATATTGATAACTGAATGAAGTAATTAGAAAGAAGTGAACCCTTGTACTTCAGCTCTACGATCCAAACCTAATGGGCATGATGAGAAGACTGAAGTTTCTAGGTTAGAGTTCTGATGTGTTTGGGGTTTGTAATCCTTTAGAGTCTCATGCTAGAGCAAGAAATCCACCCAGTGCTACACGGTACTCAACGATTTCTCAATTCTTAACGAGTGGACAAATAAGTCAATTGCTTATAGCAAATATTTGATATTTATTAAATTCTACTAAAATAAAAAGTTGTTTGAGGTTTCGCAGAAATTTGTAATCGTTTTATTAGACTATAAACCATTTGTACAGGTTAGTAAGAAATAGGTATCTTAAATTGGATTCAGGTTTAAGTGAAATTCAAATTTCTATTTTGAAAGCCTTTGTATGTTTACATAATAAACTCTGAACTAACATTGGGCTCAGTTTTCTCGAACCATAAAGTCAATTATCTCCTATCTGTACAAATATAGATTTGTTATAACTAGCTAGTTATGTACATAAAACACATAGTCTATGCATGCCTTTCTTCAAGGTTCCACGAATTTCTAAGATGCCACAAGTTATGAAACTCAGATAAAAATATGACAGTAGTTAAGATATTTTCTTCCTTACCAAATGTTTAAAGAAACAAGAGACACATATTGAAATTCATGTGCCAAACATGTTATACAGTACAAAGCTGATTGGAATTGTTTACACTTGAAGATTATGGCATATAATGAACGTTCAATGAAACGTTCATTATAAATCTGAATATTTAGAGTTTAATTGTAAATTAAAGATGATTTTTTGTACAATTATGTGTATTTTGATCTGAGGACTCTTAACTATTACCATATTTATGATATTGAGTGAAGTGTTTATTATGATCATTAAATTTCAACTTTTGATCAATTTCTATGGAATATTTCTGTTGAAAATTATGAGTATCCACATTTCTCTAAACCTAATTCATTGTAAAAAACACTATTTGTCACCATACGTTTACATTGATATTTATTCCAAAATATAAACTATTTTCACATTTATATTAACAAAAAGATAATCTAGAAGCCGCATTGTGTAGAAGGTTATTCATTATTGGTCTTGAATTTATTCTTTGAATTGACCTATTTTATTGTATCCTGTTTACATCTACAAATGTACTAGAATAAATACTCAAGATTTGCATCATTATTTTCTCATTTAATCATGTGTGTTAATTATCAATAGCTTCTTTTATTTGATAATCATTATAGAAACCAATATATATTAACGTGATCTAAGTACTTTATATGCATTTTTATAGTCCATTGTATTATGAATTAAAGTACACATTTATTTTTAGATGTAATTGTTATCATTAAAATCTACAGGTTAATTCTAACATGTTTTATCAGTATAAAGGTATTTGTATAGAATGCATATGTTAAAATTAAATTTACTGAAAAAAAAACAAGTTATCCCTTGTTAATAAATAGTATATTACAATCTGAAACAATAAAGAGAATTCATAAAAATGTACGTATATTTAACACACTTCCCAGATTAAATTCACTTTGTATTGTCTGTTTGAATCTTCCCATTGATTTTTAGAATTACAATTGATCAGTCACTTATTGGAATATGTGTATCCTGTACAGATCGCCTCGATATTGCCTTAATTCACAAACATTATAAGCAAAGGTGAATGATGACTGGCAGTGGAATCCAGGACAAGTGTTTTGTTAATGCGAAGATTCAAACAAACAATATAAAGTAGATTTAAACTTTACCTAATTGCACAAGATAGCAGCTATCAGGACTCAGTAGCTGATTGAATAACGCGATGGCATTTGAAGCGAACGGTGCTAAATTTGAGTCTCGGAGTGGACGTCAACACTTGGATGAAGACACATCCAGCTAACGAGTCCAAAATAGGACGAAACGCGCGTCATAAATCCCACTCTTAGCCACCATCCATCTTTACCTCGCAAATTACTACAAAATTAAGATCAAAGTTTATAAATTTTTAACAGGTATCTGAAAATATAAACTATAAAGTACAGTAAATTACACTGTCAAGTCACTTGGTTTTATACTTTTGTTAGATCAGCATATCCATAAACTTTATTGTTTTATTGAAATCATGAACCGATTGATGTTAAACCACCATTAGGAACCTAGAAGAACTGGACGGCCATTTCGTCCTATCGTGGGACTCCTCAGCAGTGTGAATCCACTATCCCTTTCGCTAGATTCAAACTCAGGGCCTTCAGTCTCGCACGCGAACTCTTAACCTCTCACAAGCTAGATCGTGGATGTGCTCTGCTGAGGAGCTCCACAATAGGACGAAATGGCCGTCCAGTGCCTCCAGGTTTTCAATGGTGGCCTTACATTAAACGGTTCATGATCTTAATAAAAAAGCTTAATAATCTCCACAACCTTATACTCATAAACTTAATAAGTGAATATATAAGATAGAAATTAAAACACATAAATAGTCTTTCATTGCAATTCTTTTTGTTTCAAAGTATTTTATTTGAGAGTGATTTAAATTTTAATTATTCGTAATATCAGGAAACTAGTACCGCTTTCGATAGTCTATTTCAGTTAATTCAGTTTCTCTCTCTCTTAAATTAGTATCGCCTTATGTTGGGCAAGAAATTTCATTATAAACTAATATACATTAGAAGATTTTAATAAAATTCACCGTATTTTTTTTACAGGTTACTACCCTATCAACATAATATTACAGTAATAAAATTCTAGTTTATTACTTTAAATATATTTTTTTTCTTTATATCTTTAAAGAAAATCTGGTTTAAGTGTTTACTTACTGATCTAAGTTCATTATATTGAAAAGTTTTGCTTTAGAAGTGAATTAGTTCTTAAGCGGTTTTGATATAATCCAAAATAACAAATTAAGTGATTACTTGATAAGAGATAAACAGATTTTTGTTTTCAAAATTTTTTTTTCTTAATCCTTCTACTTACACAAAACAAGAAAACTAATTTCTAGGTAATCAGGTTAAAGAGAAAAATGTTAAGATACTGTTGCCTTCACTTATTGAGATAATTTGAAATGTTCTAGTGATTGGGTGGAAGGAATTTTTTTTGGTTTCAAACATCATATTTAAATATTCATTCCTATTTAATCAAAGGGAGTTTTTATGTCAAACTTTTAATTTTTTTTCTAATATTTCTCTTATGTTTACCTCAGATTCCTACTCATACTATGACGTCATAAGACTCATTATATTTAGTAATATATAAGAGAAATCTAGACTGATCTGATGGTTTGCCTAGTTTATATGAACGTAGAATATGTTGATAGCAAACATGAACCTTTAGCTTGATCCATAGATAAATATCTAATTCTTTGTGTTGTAAGCACAGTTAGAAAATTTTTCAATGATTGAATATTTTCTTCAACTGTAGATATCGAATAAATGAGAGGAATAAGTGATAACTCCGCCTGCAGTCCCTCCGGGGGCTACTGCCGGTCCCGAGCCCGGATAAAGGAGGAGGGTTGGGCATGGGGTTAGCAACCCCATCCCGTAGAAAACTAACTCGCTAAGAAAACGCTAACCAGAAAAAATTATTCAAACCTTTTGAAACGCTATAAGTGATATATTTTATAATAAATGATTTGGTTTTTCTTATGTCAATTGAAATAACTCAGTAGGCATACATCATTCATATATGTCTTTTCCTATCTATGAAGTGATGTATTAGAAGAAAAGCGAATTAAATAGATCATAATAATCAAAAACCATAACATTCGCTACAATATGAACTAGTGATTGTCCACTTATGATTTGCCGTTAAAAATTATTGCTGTACAACATTATTAGTTAACGTCAATAAAAAGTAATCACACCGAAGCAATAGTTTCTATCGGTAAAACAATCAAATGTCAATGAAAAAATATTTTTTATTAAACAAATAATTTTAATGATGATGAAGTCAGAAAATGACGTCGAACTAATGTGTATTCCATGAATTCTAGAGAAATAGAGCTACAGCAAATTACAAAATAACACTAAATAATATCTATTATACGTTGAACTAATCAGTACTTGAAATTGTCCGTTCTTTTCTAATATGAAAAGGTTTGTATGGTTAAATCCAAAGGGTCTTTAAAACGTCTGATACAAAACACTCCAAGTATTTGTAATATGTACTACTGATTGAGAATATTATTATATGATATAATGATTGGTAGACTGTTACATTTCATTCCATATGTAGGCTATACCGTAACTTTGTCGCTATTTTCCATACAAACTTGGAAGGTTTCCGATGGTTAGAAATATGCAAAAAGTAGGTTACGTAATATACAATAATTCACTGACAGCTCAATAGTCAGTCTGCATATATAAACTCATGGGTTATAATCCCTATTTTACTGGTTTGGCGTCTTTTATGTAACGCATTCTTTTGACATTTTAACTAAAATACTCATTGATACATGAATAAAAATTTATTTTAAAAAACTATTTTGAAATTGTTTAAAAGAAACCCTATTCCATTATTGTAAAACATACCGTCCTTTAGCTGAAAGATTTTTAACTTCTTGTATGGATATTCGAAGTGATACATCTTTGTGTTGTTCATTTTCCAATTCCGGTTTAGCACGTCTGCGTAAACTGTTTGTTTGTTTTTTAAAAAAAGAAAATAGTTGAAAACAGAAAATAGTGTTAACAATGAAATTTTTTATTAAATATAACAGAATTTTTTTTAGATTAACAAAATGTTCTCTGAAGAAGTGACTTACATTAAGTCACGAAACGTCAGAAAATCTAATTTTTCTACTCATTGGGATATTACAAATATATAATTTATTTATAAAATGACGTACAGTTTTCATCGAAAATCATTTCAAATACATTGTTATTAGTAGTCTGTTTCTTACTTATAAATCACAATAAAACTTTGTAATAAAACAATTATTAAATTTACTTGATATTGTTTACTTGAATCTTCCCAGTGATTTTTAGGACTATAATTGATTAGTCTCTTATTGGCATATATGCATCCTGTGCGTATTGCCCCGACATTGCGTTATTTCACAAACATCATGAGGAAAGATGTATAGTGGCTAGTAGTGAGATAAAGGATGCGGGTTTCGTTCTATTTGGGACTCGTCAGCTGGATATACCTGTACCTCAGAGTTGATGTTCACTCTGAGACTTGAACCCAGTAACGTTCGCTTCAAACGCCATCGCGGGATCCACTTAATTACTGAGTCCTGATGGCTACTTGAGTGAACATCAACTCTGAGTTGTAGTTACATTCAGCTGACGAGTCCCAAATAAAACGAAACTCGCATCCTTTATCTCACTGCTAGCCACTATACATCTTTGCTTATAAAGTAATTATTACTTGTAATTATTAAAAATGAAATTCAATGAAGACAATGAATTGTTTGTAATATAGACAAAGCAGTTTTCATCCGTCTAAATAGCTTACATATAGCTTAACATATTATAGGTAAATATCAAAAGATGAAAAGCTAAATTATACGAGTCTAGTACCCCCGGTTTTGAACCCAACCCTAACAATAAACTTTGTATAAAAAAAGTAAGTAGTAATTAATAATGGAATTTAAATACTGTACAAGTTAAATAAACAATGTTTGATACAATAATCAATATTTTGAAGATAAGCAAAGTTTAATTACTAAGATATTCTTTCAAAGAAACAAATTAACTTTGATTTAAAGCAATTGAAACAAACTAACAAATTGTAATTATTGACAAATTCAAATTAACTAAGAAACGTTATTCAATAATTTACATAAACAAAAGACATTCATTCAATATAAATAATAAACAATAAACAAAGTGACATAGACATTGATGATATATCAAAACAAATAAAGATTTTGTTTAAATAAACAAGTTATGACAGAAAATAATCAAAATCAAATTGAACTTATTTCATTGATGAAAAATAATAATAAAAGAAAATGATAAATTTTTAGAATGAAGAAAGAAATAAAATTAGGAAGTGTCATTGTAGTTTGACTAAATGCGGTCAATAATACATATATCATAATGATTTCGGATGTGATACATCGAAGTGATGGTTATCTTGAACATGAAATAACTAAATCTTTAAGATAAATTATGACACAAATTGTCAAAGCATAAGTTAAATATAATTTTATATATATGGTTGGTTTATGGCTTAAGTTAAGGGAAGATGAATTGTATCTGGAGTACTATGTGATCGTGACTATGATGTATTCTGTAATCTACGGGCATCAGAAGGCTTCAAAAAGTAAACTATAATTTAATCCGTCACCCAAATATACATAACATTTAAATTGCCCTAAATTTTAGTACATTTAAGTGTCATTGAAAAAAAAGGTTTTCTGTTTATAGTTGGTGTTATATTCTACTACTGATGGTTACTTTAATCAAATTAGTTTGAAATCGGCATGTATAAGCTTGGTAATACAATACGGGTGTTTATATCTGGTTATTTTAAATTAATTTAAACTTTTCAGAAAATATGCATATTTATTTAAGCCTTGAAGATGAATAACACAAACGTCTAAATGAATAATTAGTTAGGTAACAAACTAGATGTAATATTTATCATATTATAGCCCAAATCTAATTTGTAGTTGAACTTTTTAATTTCAGTGTCAAGGTGATTTAATCTATTATAGATCCTAGTGGTATTGAGAAGCATTGATAAACTTGGATTTCAAACAAACAGGCTCGTCGTGAAGATAGTGTAAAATGTGTAGAGAACAGCCTTGAATGTAGTCTGAATTTTGGAAAATATAATATTACTGTTGAAGCAGTGACTCAAAGGAAATATTTTGTTCATGACTAACAAAAAGCGTACCAAGTATACACAATATTCAGTCACAAGATGTAGTTGCAGTTAAGAGAGTGATTCAAAAGATATCAAAATATCATTTACTTCTAATGGAAACTTTGAGAATGACTTTTAGATGATTGCACTCTGATTCTTACTTTTGATCGAATTTTCATGAGGAAAATTCTCGAGCTCAGACGACCTTTTCTAAGGAATCGATGCATGTTCGTTAACTTCGTGATCATTAGTATCAACCCAAAAATCATTGAAGCTGCATATTACGTGGCTTTGAAATAAGACTAACCGATGGCAAACTAATTATTCGGTGGTATAGATTATGTAACTAGACAATACAAGAAACAACTAGTTTATCGATCGAAGAAACCAGATTTCTAATCCATAGGGAAAATCCTGAACTGCTATTTATTTTGTGTATGTGTGTTGGTGTGAATCACAGCATTTTTTTCTCAACTTTTCCTTTAACTAAATAAAGAATGTTGCTTTTAATGCTTCAAAAATACTTTTGTGTGTCTAGCAGCAAAGAATATTCTAGCCACCTTTGCTAAATATTTCAAATTTTCACTTAATTTAGTTAAAAGTTGTTCACTAAACATGAAAATTTTGTAAACCTATTATTTCCTAACGTTTCAAAACATAAATAGAAAAGTAATTTATTGTAGAAAATCGTCTGGAAGTTTTCAGATTTTAAGCACAGCAGTTCATTTGGTTAGGCTTCCGGTGAACGGTCATTATACATAAGCCCATTATTTCTAAAGAAAATTTTTACTAAATAATAATTCTCTTTATATCATAACCAGGTTACATAGGGGAAAATTCTCTCTACAATGAATACCAAAATCCTTGGTCACGTAGATTAGTACAATGACCATTTAAAAATATTACAATGTATTATTGAAGAACATTTTGCTTCATTCGAGATTTGTTGTTGACATGCTTTTGTGAGTTATTGCATGATATTAATCTGGTTGAGTGAGACACATGTAAAGAAACATTTTTTAAATTATTTAATAATCGGTAATAGATATAATGAAAATACAGCTAAGGATAAATCTTGCTGAACACCTTGCATATCAACAGAACCTAATGAACTCAATTCCAGTGGTCGAAAAACAAAAATATCACTCTATCACGCTATTCTGTATTATTCACCATTTCACACCCGTTTAACTCTATTAAACCAGTGAATTACTCTTTTACTAGTGACTAAATAATAAGGAATGTTGGTTGTAAAAGAAAATTAAAATTTGCATAAAAAAGATGATTTGAGTTATGTATGAAAATCCTATGGGAGAAAAAAACGATGGAAATAAACAAATATTTGAGAAATTAATGACATCGGTTAACTGTATATTTATTTATTTTAATGATGATTGAAACCACGGAAAGATATATGTTGTACAGCCATTAAGAACCTAGAATCATTGGACGACCGTTTCGTACTAGTATATGACTCCTCAGAAGTATGCACTCATGACCCTGAAACGGCGAATCAAACCCAGGACCTCCAATCTCATACGAAAACGCCAAACCCTAGACCATTAATTCATAATCTATTAGTGCACAAGTTTAACTTAAACCAAACTACGACCGTTTTTTAGTTTCATCGATGAGTGTCTTCCTCAAATTCGATACAGATGAACTCCACTAGTCACGGTTTCTTATCTGAACTACGGAAATTTCCTCTTGAAGCTAACCATTAATGAACACATGACTACTACTGCGCACAACACTAAGATGTCTCATACCTAGGCGAGATGGCCTTCCGGTGCTTTCAGATTATTATTGGCTGTCTAACTAATATGTGTTAGTGATTTTATATGAAACTACTTGATTCCCTAGATCCCACTCTGAATTAACTCACCAAAAAATAATTATGGAAATACAACGTCTATGTTTACATTTGTTAAAGAATTTAAATACTATTTTAAACTTCTATTCCACTGCTACCAAAGATTATTGTGCAGAAGAATATATAGGGAAATTACAGTAAGAAAAACAAATATATCGATCATTAATATTGTTGATACAATAATCTCTGTTAAAGTGTTTTTAATCGCTTGTCAGATTATTGATATAACAACCCACAATATATTTTGCAAGATAATATATATATATATATATATATATATATATATATATATATATATATATATATATATATATATAATATTTGTTTATTATTATATTCATTTCTTAAAGCAATAATATGATTTGTTTAAGAATTTGTTTCAGGGGTGCTTGCGTCATTGATTACTCATGCATATATGAAACATACCATAGAAACATGTGCAAAATGCTTTATGTCCTTATGAACGAATTACCAACGAATTACACTTACTTTTATTGACCTTCTTTAAACAACCAAAACTAACTATTATACACTGTATACATATAAATAAATAAATATTGTTTTGCTAGTAGAAATAAAAGGCATACCATTTATGGAAGCAAATAGCTGTAGTAAATAGGAATCTGTTTATTTATTTTTTGTATTTATATTGATGATTTAACTCATTTAATTAAGAAATCCATAATGTTGAATATTTTGAAGTTATGTGTAAATGATTTGCTATTTGTGATACTCTTAGTTACATTTATGAATAAAATGAATTCAAGTTTAGAAATCAGTTTTTCCAAGGTTTTAAGTACGTTTATAATAATTAGAGAGAAGTGACAACAGAGCTGATTTCAAGATTCCTAATAGAAAAATGAATGTATTTCTCTATTGTAAACTATATGAATAAGTTAATATATCTGTACTATTTAAACTTGGATTAATTTTGATTTGGTTATT